GCAGGGCAGTACAAAGTGGAAAGGGTCACCTGGGCCTGGGGGCAAATCCTGACTCGGCAACCACTGCTGGGTGGTGTGGGAGGCCACCGCACCCATCTGGTCCTCGCTTCCCTTCATCCGGGAGATGCACAGAGCCTTACCTGGCAGGGCTGTGGCAAGGATCCAAGAGAACACACGTGAAGCTCCTTATACCAGAGCTGACCCGTGAAGGGCCTTGGGAAACTCGGGCATTCTTTGTCATTATCGGTGCTGCCTCTGCTGAGTGGATTTCTGGCTCTCTGAGACACCTTGAGCTTGAAGGCAAGATTTTGTTTTGATTCATCTCTCCATCCTGAGTGCGTGGCACATGGCAATTCCTCAAAGCGTCTCAGGTGAGTGAGCAGAATGAGCATATGGACGTATTGATGGACATCTTGTCCCAACCCAGTGCTTCTCAAACTAGAAGCCATGTGCTCCCCAGGATGAGGCGGGGGAGGGGGGCATGGTGCTGGCTGGGCCAGGGGATTCCAGCACTTAAAATGGGAGCATTCTCCTGGGTCATCAGGTTGACAAAGACTTTTTGTTGAAAATGTGCGTGTGTGTGTCATTTTAGTATTCACACCAACACTGATGCATCATGGAGTCAAATGAACATTCATATGAACTTTTAATATAAAGCAGGACGCTTGAAAGCCATCCCATGCCCCAGTCAGCGCCCGCAGGCCATGCCTTCAAGCCTTGGCCCCATGGGCCATGGTATCTGTGGCCAAGTTAGAAATACGTGGTGTCTGTGGCCAAGTTAGAAATACGCAGCTATCCCAACCTAAGGTGGGGATTGCAGACAGCATGGAAGGCCCATGGGGGATGTTTGGGGACTGTCAGGGCCCCCAGGGCCTGAGGTCAGGCCATGACAATAGTAGAAGGCCCTACCCATGGGCAGCGAGGCCATGGAGCTCTGATTCTACTGCGGGAGAGACAAAAATAAAATTCACTTTGTAAGACAGGTTACAAAGTGGTCCCTTAAGAAACTATAAAGTGCTGCTTCATCTGTAATTGTTGCTAAATGGACTCCTAGTAGTATTCACATCTTCCTGCAAAGTCTATCCATTACCCTAACAGAAGAGGGAGACACATACCCACAGGCACCCCTGCAAATAAAGGCCTGATCTTCTCCCAGATCAGACTCACCACAGGACAAATCCTCTCCACAGGACGCTGACTTGAGCCCCGTTTCTTTTCCTCCCACCATGGGGATGGCTGAAGAATCAGGAAGCCATGAGTGAATGAATCATGCAGTGCAGTAAGGGAAGGAAAATTTTGCTTCATGGGAAGTTAGAAATCTCTTCCCCCGAAGGGCAGCACCCCAACCCCAGCCCAGCCTACGACGTGCGTATTTCCCGAAACCTGGCTGAGCTCTCAGGGCTGTGCCCGGTTGAGGACCTGGAGGTGAATACAATCCGGTCTCCACCAAGTGATCTGCCCAGGCTGCCCCTGTTTCCTATGATGCTCCTTCAGAAGTTCCGAGACCAGCCAGTGGCTCCCCGATTCTTCCCTCTACCTTCCCCAGCCACCGCGGCTTCCCTGTTCCCCACCTGGGACTTTTCTGCTCTCAGTGCATTCAAATTCACATCACATGGAGCCCCTCTCCTGCAGGGGCAGCTTCGGGGGCCCAGAGCCACCGCATTCCTGGCCCCCATCTAAATAGTTCCCATGCAATCCTCACTCAGCTGTTAGACCCTACGTGACTGTTTGGAAATGCAGGCAGGGACAGCGGACGTAAGTGCCCATGGTTGTCCTGCTGGTGAGCGGTGCAGCCCGCTGCCCGGAGCTCGGGCGTCTGCTGGCCGCCTCCCAGCCGCGCAGTCACCCAGAGCCTCCAGTGGGCCATGCCCTTCCAGACAGTGGGATCTGTCCCCAGCCCCACTAGGTACCAGTCCCGCCTCTTCAGACAGAGAAACTGGCACTTCATTCTCTAGACTCTGAGGCTCAGGCCACCTTGTTCCTCCGACGAATGAGTAACTTGTTCTCTCGACACAGAGAGGTGTGGGGAGAAGGCAGTGCCCCGCCCCTTCCGGACACCTGTCACAGACACCTGACGGGGCCCTCATTCCCCGGGCCAGGTCCTGTTCCCTGACAGACACAGCTGATAGCTGCCACCCCGTGTGAGGATGAATCACCCCAGAACCAGTTCCCACCCTCACAGTCTCAGGGGGGTGGTAAGGAGAGGGCCTCCAGCATTTCTTTCTAAGGACAACGGTCCTAGGAACACCTGGTGGGGGAGGTCTGCTTGGGCCAGGCCCTGTTCTGAGCACTTGACAAGAAGCACCTCATTTCACCCCATCAACACAAGAGTGTAGACACTACTACTCTTACCCCCATTCCACGAGGAGAAACGGGGAGCCAGAGGTTCAGAACGGAGCTGGGAGGCTGTGGAGCTGGACCCAGATCCAGGCCCGACACTCCTGCACGAGACGGAGAGGCGTCAGCCTCCAGGCGGCCTCCCTGCCCAGCTCACACGTGCCGGGACTTCCTTCTGGTTCCCGGCGCTCCCAGTCTGCCCTGCTTGGCACCCCCATGCTGCCCAGCTCCCGCGACCCAGAGGCCTCCAAGACGGGCAGCCGTCCGTGGGCTACTGCGTGCCTCAGTGGGCCTATCGGCACCTTCAACCCCAGCAGAGGGAGGGTCAGCTCGGTCCTAAGGTGTGTGGGGTGAGGGGCTGCTGTGTGACAGATCAGAGACAGGACAGAGGCTGGAGCCATCTGTAAGCCTGGACCCTGCCCGAATCCGTGACTTGGCTTCCCCGTCTAGGGTCCAGCAGGAAGCAAGGTCCATGCTCTAGAAGGAGGAGGGCCCGGGGGCTTCCCCTGGGGGCCACGGGGAGGGGGCCGGGGAGACTGAGTCCATCCAGAGGGGGTGTGGGTGGACAGGGCAATGTGCTGGGAAGGGGGGAGAAGAAGGGGAGCTGGCCTCCCTGCAGTCTACCCCCCCAAATGGACGCGGTGGGAATTCCCGCGGCTGCCGTAACAACGGAGTGGGTTAAAACAACAGAAATGTATTCCCTCACGGTCTGGAGGCCAGAAGGATAAAACCAAGGGGTCAGCAGGTTGCGTTCCTGTCTGGAGGCTCCGGGGGGAATGGCTTCCCGGTCTTTTCCAGCTTCTAGAGGTCTCCCTCCTCTGTCCCCAGCCTCTGCCCTCACACCTGACTCTGACCTCCTGCCTCCCTCTGGTGCGGGCCCTGTGATGACATGGGCTCACCTGGAGAATCCAGGACAACCTCTCAACATCCTTAACCGCAGTTGTCAAGTCTCTTTCGCCACGTAAGGTGACAATCCCAGGTTCCAGAACCGGGAAGAGGACACCTGTGGGGATGTACTGTGCCGCCCCCGCCCCCCACAGTGACAATTATGATCAGTCAGCTCCTCGATCACTGCCCCATTCACAGATGAGACACCTGGGCTCAGAGAGATGAGGGGACCTCAGGGAGGTGCCCCCCCTTACTGGGGGACACAGCACAGCTGGACTGAGTTCAAGGACACCCCAGCCCAGGCACTATCCCCCAGGGCCCCTGGAGATGCAGGGTGACCACAGCAACCCCAGGAAGGAGCCCCGGGCTCCTCGCACACAGGCCCCGAGCAGGGGGTTGGGGGGGCTCTTGCGGGTGCAGGGGAGCTCTGGGGGTCACCACTGCTGACTGCCATACTCATACATTCACTCATTCCATTCTTTCAGTGTCGGCCGAGCCCCGAGCACAGGCCCCCACCAGACCCAGCCTTCTACCCCGTCGATACGTCAGCCCCCAGGTAACCTCTCACGGGCCAGGTGGGCCCGTCTGCGTTGGCGATGCTGCCGTCTCCCTGCCTGCATCCCCGTCCCTGCACTGTCTGCCAAGGAGGCTCGACCGGGCGCCCCACTCCCCCAGGGCTCCACGCATCTCCCGGTGGCCCACACAGATGTCCCCTGGGGCCTGTCCCAGCGGCCCCGCCGACCTAGAAGCCCCTTCACTGCCCCCTCCCCCACTACAGGCATCATCTCACTAACCTTCCTATCCACCCCTTCTACTGGCCGGGAAACTGAGGCTCAGAGGAGCCACATCCCTGGCTGTTGTCCCCACCGACCCACTCGGCCTCCATGTAAAGGCCTCCCTGACTTCACAGCCTCCAAAACCCCGCTCCGCGCCTTCCCTCATTGCTTCTGCTCTTCTCACTTCCAAAGGTGGGCACAGCCTGCGGGGCCGGCCCTGGCACCTTCCCGGGCACCTGAGGACCCTCCTGGCCGGTGACAGACAGAGAACGTCCCAGGCTGTGTCGCCCTTTCCTTTGGTTTAAAGTCCCCAGAGCAACTGTCAGTGCCTGTGGGCCAGGCTCACGCCGAGCGAGCGCCAGGCTGTGGGTTCTGATCCCCGATGTCACGATTCTCTGTGCCAGACGGGGTCACCTCCCCTTTCCCGCAAGGCACCTGATCCGCCCAAGTAAGTCCCTTCCCGTGACACTGAGCGGCTCCTCCGGACGCAGCCAGGCACACAAGGCCTCTCTGCCCTTGTGCTGGGGTCCCAGATGGCCGGGAAGCAAGCATGGGTTTGCAAATGGGTGTTCGCACAGAACCTGGCGGGTGGTGGCCGCCTGGGAAGAGCGACGGTCCCGATTCCACAGCCAGGCAAACGGTGCTCGGGACATGCCCAGACCAGGAACACAGAAAGTACAGCTCCAGATGAAAAATCGAATCCAGATCAAAACCAAATAAGAACACCTGCCCAAGAGTGCGACTGCTCACGCTGCCTTCCAAGGACCCCGAACCCAACGGGGATTCTTCCTCGGTCCCCAGTGCCCACCGGGAGAAGGCAGAGGCACCTGCACAAGTACACACAGCCGTCCAGCGACGGCCCGGCCGGCCACTGAAACACGGTCGTCAGCACGGACCTCGGAGGAAACGGAAAGGGTGTTGCGGGACACACCGTGGTCAGAGGCCCACTGCCGGAGCCCAGCAGTGCCAAGTGGGCAGCCGCCCTGGCGTGCCCCTTACCTTTCTCTTGTTCGTCGGGCAAATGTAGAAGTTGTCGATGACCGTGGTGACACCGGGCTGGAGCGTGAGCTTGGTGTAGGACGTCCCGAAGTCCGAGGACCTGGGGGGACAGGACAGGTGTCAGCAAGGGGTCCCTCCAGGTGCAGATGGGCCCAGCCCACACGACAGCCAGCACGGGCCGCACACCGGCATGGGCACAGCAGCCAAGACCACCTCCCCCGGGAGCAGCATGCCCCAAGGTGACAGGGAGCAGGAGACCGGGGCTCCCTGGGTCTCCAAGTGCTCGCTCGGGTCTGGCGCGGGGTGTGGAGTCAGTGAACGCCGGCCAGTCTCCCCACGTGTGCCTGTTTGCGAAGGGCCCCTCGAGTGCCAGGCACTTCTGTGTCCTTCCATCTTCTCGACTCCTCGAGAGCCCTTAAAGACGAGATCACTGCGTCTCCCTTGCAGAGGCCCCAAGGACGAGGCGGATGGCTCAGAGCAGGTAGCTTCCGGCCTGGGATCGCTCAGCTAACCAGTGCCTGACTCGGGAGGTGCGAGCTGGCCCGAGCCACTCACGCCGGCACCCTGTTCGCTCTGGAGCACGGCCCTCACCGTGCTGAGGCCTCACAGCGGCCTGTCTGCTTCTCCGTTTCCCTCTCCGGACCCTGAGCAGCTCCAGGGAGCCGCACCCTCTCCCCCGTGGCCACACAGGGCTGGAGGACGGCAGGGGACGGCAGGCAAGACGGAGCTCCGGGGGCCGCCGGAAACCAGGCCCCCAGCCTCGTGTCTGCCGGCCCCTCCACCGCTGGCTCCACGCCGGGGGCTGGCCCCTCCTCGCCTGGGGGCCCACTCTCCTGGCCATAGCATGAGGGGTGCAGGACGGAATCTCTGGCTCTAAACCCCCTGCCCACTGCGGCGAGAGGGGGAGGGGTCATCAGAGCGATTTCACATCTGTGGTTTGGAAGCAACCGATACAGCAGAACATGGAATTAATTCCACGTGGAAGCTTAAAACCTCCTTAAAACATTGAAATCAATGTTCCTTATTATCACCCCATTAACATGTGCTGTGATTACAGAGCAAGGCTGGCCGTGAGCCCCAGGGCCGCCAGGCCTGTCTGACCCTAAAGCGGAACATCCAGGATGTCGGCCTTCAGGGCCGTCCCTGAGCTTCCGCATCAGGAGAGGTCAGGAGGGTCAACCCACCAAGGGGACAGGGACCCAGTGGGAACCCCTTGGGCCTGGGCCTCCCTGTGATCACCTTGTGTGTCCTCACAGCTGAGAGCCGCCTGCAAGAGCCAAGCCCCAGGGCTGCAGGCGGGAGTCGGAAGCCTGTCCTGGGGCCCCAGCAGCACCCTCCGCCTCTGGGGGCTGGACAAGGCAGGGTTTCTCGGGCTTGCCCAGTGTTGTTAGGGCCTGGAGGCCAACCTGGGCCCGCGCAGCATAAATGCCTGCCCCACCAGCACGTGTCCATTGCCTTCCCCAGTACATCTTTAGTGCTTTCTGCACACATAGACTTCCTCCCCAAATCTTCAAGAGAAACCGGCGCTCCGGGAAGATGGGCTATGTTCATTGTCTTGGCGCCTAGTGGCCACCTGTCCACCTGTCCCTGGAAGCCAGGTCCCTTACCAGCCTCAGGGCCACAAGACCCTTCGCAGACCAGGACAGAGAGCAATACCTGCCCCCTGACTCCCAGGGAGTTCTGGTGGGGGCCAGCCCCCTCCCCGAGGTGGGTCCTTGACTGCCCTTGGCCTCCCCAGAGAGACTCTGCTCCAGCGAACCAAGAAAGCCTCCCTGGAGGGGTGATTAGGGACGCACTTAGTCTCCAAACCTCAGAGAACTGATTTGCTTTGGGAAGGAGGGAGCCAGAGGCCCATTAGTAGAGGAGTGATCCAGAGACCCAGGGAATTCGAGTCTCCACGGAAACCAATGCTGTGTTTCTGAGCTTGATACGTGGAAGGGTCCTCTGAGCCTCTTGGCTCCTCTGCTGTCCCTACCACCACCAGCAAGCTGAGTGTAAGACCTGCCCATGGGTTCTGCCTCCCAGATACCTTGCCACCCACCCCTTCCCTCCATCCCTGACACCCACCTGCCTCAGCCCAGGTGCTTTTCAAGGATCGAGCCTCCCCCCCCACCACCACCACCCTTCCCACTCCCAGTCACAGGAGCCTGCTCACACCTGCTCACTGCTGGGCACCTGCTAGTGTGGGCCTGCAGGTGGAGCGGGTCTAGGGGGGCGAGGGGGCGAGGGTGATGAATAAGAAAACTATAACAGCAACAGGTGTGATCAGGGCTGGGCTGGAGGGGACAGTGGGACTGCTGTCTCAGAGAGGCAGGGAAGGCCCCTCGGACGCGGTGATGTTTGGGCAGAGACAGGAAGGAAAAGAGTATGTGCCTGGCTGGGGGAAAGTGATTTGTACCTGGCTAAGTAATGTCGCCCCCAAATTTGTGTCCATCCAGAATCTGGGAATGTGACCTTATTTGCAAACAGGGGCTTTGCGGATGTAATTAAGTTAGGAGGTCATACTGAAGCAGGGCGGGCCCTGATCCAATGACTGGTGTCATAAGAGGAGGGGAATTCGGACCCAGAGACACACAGACACACAAACACACATGGAGAGTGCAGACAAGGGATGCCAAGGACTGCCGGCCACAGCCAGAGGCTGGGAGACAGGCCCAGAACAGACTCTCCCCAAGAGCCTCTGGAAGAAACCAACCCTGCCAACACCTTCACCCTGGACTTCCAGCCTCCAGACTGTGAACAATAAATTTCCGTTGTTTCAAGCTAGCCAGTATGTGGTCCTCTGTTACGGTGGCCCTAGGAAACTAACACAGCCTTCCAGGTAGAGGGAACAGCAGGTGCAAAGGCCCTGAGGACAGGCTAGCTCTCCTTCCTGCTCTTGGGACAGGGAAGGAGGGATCTGTTTGAACCAGTCCGCCACTGCTTCCAGCTACTGAGGCACCAGGAACTCCTCATGCTGCAGGACAATGCAAATCCGGTTCCCCAGTTAGTCATGAGCCCCAAACTCCAGGCCTCTTGCTGGAGGCTGAGGCCCTCAGTTCACTCACTCACTCACTCACTCACTCCTCTGTCCAAGATTCGTTTAGCTCCTTAAAGCTTCCAGCTCCACACTCCAAGTGGGAATTCAAATGTCATCCCTGGGTCAAGTTCGTTCATGGCACGTGTGTTTACGGAATACCTACTGTGTACCGGTCACTTCCTCCTGCCATAAGCAGGACAGACAACGCCCTGCCCTATGGGGACGACAGGCTGACTGGTGAGACAGAGAGAACAGACCCGCATTTCCAGGTAAGCAGTGATGCTGATGGACGTGTCCAGAGAATCTTGGGAGACTCTCAGGGGACGTGAAACCGACCTGGCCAGGGGCCACCCTCGACTGCCCTGCCCCCAGCCGCCCCCACCACAGATCTAACCACCCACCCCACCCCGCCGACTCTTCCTGCAGAATCATTCACATTTGGTGCCAACATGCCCCCCTCGCCATCCCTCTCCATCTCGCAGCCATCCACGAGGGGCCTCTGTGGGCTACGGAGTGGAGGGGGAGGAAGGGGGAGGCTGGTCCAGGCTGGGCGGGCTTCATCAAGGACCAGTGAGCAGTTTCCTGCAGCTGGTGTAACACATTACCCCAAACTTAGTGGCGGAGAACAGGACAGATCTATTCTCTTACAGTTTGGGAGGTCAAAAGTCCAGAACAGCTCCTTTCCTCACCTTCCCGGCTTCTAGAGGCGCCCACTCTCCTTGGCTGGCGGCCCCTCCTCCACCTTCAGAGGGCATCCCCCCCCCACCTCCCATCCATTGGCACATCCCCTTCCTCTGGAGTCTGCCCCTCCCCTCGCTGTGCCCCCAGGAAGAGTTTGGGGCATGACTGGAATTCAGGTGCACCGGCTTCGGGGCAAAGTTTCTTCAGAAAGTGGAAGGCAACGAGCAGGGGACGAGAACACAGGAGAGACGGAGATGCTGTGTGCGACCCTAGGAACGGGGTCCCGTCCCCATCCGTGTCCCTCCGATTGCTCCCCCACGCTGGCTGAGTGTCTGCCGGCTCCCAGCTGCACGCCAGGTGCCAGGACGCAGCCAGACGGGCTCCCAACACTCGGCGGGTAAGAACGCCGACCACCAAAGCCAGCAGTAAACGGCCTGACCGGTTCGCCTCGAGATGGGCTGGCCCGGCCCCCGCCAGATCCCCACCTCTCTGACTGCCTGTCTCTCGGTGGACCCCCAGTGTAGGCGGAGGACGAGAATGGAATTTATCACCGTGAATAAGTCCAGGAAAGAGAGGCTGACTGGCCTCAGTGACCAGCTGGTCAGTGGGGGCAGGTCCGAACCCAGACCTCCCGAACAACCCGGAACCTAACACTGCCTCCTCCTGAAGTCTATACAGATCACTCAGTGAGGACGGCGGTCACCAGGATCATGCAGGAATCCACAGGCTGGGTGGGCACACACAGCCCTCCACAAATGCTTACCGGATTTCTATGGAGGTGCGCTGGTGTCAGACCTGCGGGCTCTGTGACCTCAGGTAAGCAGGTTTCCCTCTCTGGGCAATGAGTTTCCCATCAAAAATGTGGGGATGGGATGTGTTCATGTCTGAGCCCTGGCAGCGGCGGCCCCCGTGGCCCTACCCCCACACGCCCCTCCTGAGCTGCCCCAGTGACCCCTGAGCCCCTCCCTGCTGTGCCCTCCCCGGGGTGACCTTCCCCACAGCGCTCTGCACCCCCACCACCTCCAAGTTCTCCTTAAGTGCATCTGGGAGTGCAGGGAGTGATTATGCCAATCTGCATTTATTCAAATTAAAAATAAAAAACCCGACTCTAAAACTGGGCACACAGAAACAGGAAAGGCAAGCTCAGTTGGAAAGTCACTCTTTGCAAATCGGCTGCTTAATTGCTGAGTGTTTGTACATATTCACTTTTTAAAAAATGATTTAATTGAGCCATTTTCATGCTCTATAATTATTTCATTGGCAGGGCCATATGTTCTGCTCCTGCCCCTCCCCGTCGTGCAGATAAGCCCCTATCTCCCACCCATCTCCTCCACCCGGCTAGCTTGGAAAACCACCGCAGGTGTGAATAGGGGGCGCCCACCTGCGTGGCTGGTGCTCCC